CAGGCCTTCTTATTCAAGAAGTAATACCCTACTCCTGTCCGGGGATGAATCCGCCGAGTATCTTATTGATTGTATGATTTGGAGAAAATCAACACATACCCCTAGAGGCACCCGGACCCCCCTTATATATGGGAAGGAGTCCGTGTTACAAAAGATAATCTATATCCCTAACGGAATATGCAGATACAGATAAAATACAGTCGTAACCGACTAAGTCTCAAGGTATTTCCTTGATGTACAAGTTGAGAAACAAACCCGAGATACAAATAAGATATTCTATCTATATTCGGTATCCTATATTCAGCCCAAATATCATCGCCGTGTAGATATGGGATATCCATAATCTCCACAAGTTGTAAAACTGTTCAAAATATCCTCATGCTACTAGATCTATTTTTATTTTTTATTCTCTTCGGCTTCAAGTTTCACATCTCCTTGCCATGTCGATGAAAACAAGTACATTGCCGATGATTATGCATCAACTAAAAAAAATCAAAATAGTTGCAAACATTTCTTAAAAAAAATAACAACATTTATATGACATAGTTTCAAAATTGTTGAAACTATGATTTATTAGGGTGGATATTCTCTGTTTTGTCCATATTAAATATGCTAGTGTGCAGAATTTATACATTTAACATTTTGATGTAGCCTAGCGGCTTAAGTCCATTGCAGAGGGTCCGCAGTGGGACGGGGGTGACGGGCTGAACGACGGCGGCCGTACTCCTGTACGCGAATTTTTTTTCTTAGAATCATTTTTTTTGTCAACTCAAATTTCTAAAGAGAAATTGGACAAACTTTTACTGAAATATTTAAAACTTTAAACTCGAAAATAGAAACAGATTTAATCAAATTCTAGTAGTACATGCACTGATGAATGTGACAGCAAAGCTAATGTAGCTCGTCTATGCAAAGCGTCGTCGTGCATGCTCTCGGCGGGGGTCGTCGTCGTCCTCAGGGAGCCGCCGTCGCAGATGTCCTCGAGGACTAAAAAGTAAAACCGGATCATCGTCGTCGTCATCATCATCAGACTCAGAGTCATCATCGTCATCCTCATCGGCGATCGGCGGCGGCGTCACGTGGCGGCGGCACATGGGGCAGGTGGCGTACGCGGCCTCGAGCCACTTGTCCAGGCACCCGCCGTGGAAGCGGTGCCCGCACGGCGTCTCCTTCCACTCCGCCGCCGCCGCGTCATCCCTGTCCAGGCAGATCGCGCAGTTGTCCTGCTCCTGCCCGTCGTCGACGTCGTCTCTGGGCGCCTCGACGATCGCCGCCCTACTCGACGCGCGGGTGGGAGCCGCTGCCGCCGCCGCCTCCGCGGACGACGACGGGATCGTCGTCGGGACGTCGTCGTCGTCGAAGAAGTTGCGGAATATGTAGTCGACGGCATCATTGACAAATTAAAGTCGTTGAGCGTCATGTCCATGAACTGCCTCATGTCGAGCAAGCTCTCCTGCGTCTCAGCGGCGTCGTCCGCCGCGGGCGCCGCCCGCCCCGAGTCCATCGCAGATGCAGCGGTGGAGCTTGGTGTTCGTGGTCGTCCTCCTCGCGCCGGCCGAACGACGAATTTATTAAGGAGAGGCGCGCGCGCGATAGCGTCTGGAGCTCGCGGTTGGCTGCTATGGTGGGTGGCTTTTGATATATAGGGCGGCATTGGCTGTGGGAGACGCGGATGACGAGACGGCGTCGGAGTCGGATTCGGCCTACTGCGCTGCCTGCCTGCCTGCCTGCCTGCTTGCCTGCGTGCGTGTGTGGAGTGGGGGTTTAGCCATTTAGACCGAGTCGGAGTCGGAGTCGGAGTCAGAGTTGGGAAGAGTTCTCTCAACTGCGGCCGTTGTTTGGACTGTGTTCGGGTGGGCTACTGTGCTGGGCCGCCGTTGTCATACGCACGCCTAGATGGCCCACAAAAGATGTTTCCGTGGTTTTACTTGGGGCTATGCTTTCGGAGCTTAAAACTCTAAGAAGAACTTGTCGGTAATCAGTTCTCATAAGTTAATGAGAATCGCCGACGCCGCGGTAGGCGAGGTGCCTCAGTGGAGCCGGGGTTCCGCGTTGTTGGCGGCTCTGTACCGTGCACTTTGTGAGTCTTGCACGAAGACGGATCCCAGCGCGACCTTTGGTGGGTGCCCTCTCTTTCTTTCTATCTGGGCAGCTGAGAGGATTGCGATCGGCCGCCCTGAGGTGGACCAGCACGCGTACGAGGAGTCACTGTACGAGGAGCGACCAGAGGTCGACTACCCTACGATGGGTACTCTGTGGTGCCGTCGTCAGGTACGTTGCATCGATCTTATCGTATTGTTAAGTTAATTGCTAAGTTCATTGTACATCACATCGATCGTCTCATATTGCAGCGTCGATGGGCTCACGTCCAGGTTAGGCGGTCGTATCCTGAGTTTGTTATGGAGTTCGACCGCCTTCTGCCGACTGACGTTGTGTGGGAGCCCTACAGTGCAGCGGCTACCCAGGCTCGTGCGTCGTTGGGTCTGTCCACACTCTGCACCAGGGACCAGGCGTACTGGATGACTACGGTTCCGATGGTCTTCGACATCTGCGTTGAGCCTCACGCCCCTTTCCGCGTGATGCGGCAGTTCGGCTTCCGTCAGCCCTTTCCAGTACCGTTTCCGACCACCGTCCCAGCTGCTGTTCACCGGTAAGATCTTGCACTACGCTTTCCGTTGTTGCATTAAAATCTGCCTGTTCACAATAATTTGTAACATCTGTCGTTTCACACTAATATTACATATTAATTCGCAGGTACTCGCGCAAGGGTCAGCACTCAGCTGGCGACTAGCTCGCCAAGTTGGCGACTTTTGTTGAGGACTGGTTGCTCGCAACCGAGGAGGTCGTGGACCACGAGGGAGAGCCACACACTGAGGAGTCGTACCAGGCCTACCTACGCTGGTACCAGCCACGCACCCGTACTAGGGTCACCTTCGCTCCCTTGGAGCAGCAGCCCCACGTTGCGAGCACTAGAGACCTCTATGCCAGGCACCGCGACCAGGACTTTGCTCGTGCTGTGAGTACCCTGCATCGCACCATTCCTTTATGTTTTCATGTCTTTCTCTTCGTCAAATTTTACGAATATTTACGAACAAATTAACCATGCAGGTCGACGACATCAACCGGGTCGTCGTTAACGGTTCAACGACGATCCAACGTTTAGGCGTGGGGATTCCGGTACCCGTAGAGGAGCACCTGACGACGTACACGTGGATGGTGGAGTCGATGCGCTCGATTCTCCGAGTGCTCACCTGTCGTGTAGACGACGTTGCTCGGGCAGACGCAGCTGTACAGCGGCCACCCGTACTGACTGGTCCCCGTCCAGCTGCGCACGTTCCTAGGCCGACTCCCCCTCCGCACGGAGGTAAGTATTTTTATTACTATTTCTGTACATGCCTCGCACATATAAGTGAGCCGTTTCACTTGCCGATTGCTTCAGGGTTTCGTGCACCGTTCAGCACCCCGCCTTCCTCGGCTAGGCCTTCTGTTGTGCCCCCCACAGGTACTTAAAAAAACAACATTACTTCGACAATCAATTTACATACATTTTATGTCTTAGCTTACAAGGGTCCCGTTGTCGATGTGTAGGTTTCGCCCAGTTCGCTATGACGCAGGCCGCCCACTTCTCCCAGGCTGCAGGGTCAGCGTCTTAGGCAGCTGTGTCGACCTCGCACTCAGCGCAGTTCTGGCAGTACACCGGGACTTCGTCACAGGCAGCCGGCACGTCGAGTCAGGGTCCACCACTGGACCATGCTGGGACCTCGTCGGACCGCTTGCTGCCTTCCACCTTGCTCTTCGACATCACTGACTTCGACTTCGCTTCAGGCTCGACAGAGGACGTCATTGGCCCCTCACAGCTGGGAGGCGCACCGCCGGTGCAGACGCAGGACCAGGCGCAGGCCACTCCTCCGCGGGACACTCGTGCTACCCGTGCTGTGCCACCGGATCGTTTCACCTACTCCCAGGACCACGTGCGAGCACAGGCCCGGAGGACCAAGCGTGGTCGCGGCGCGGGGCAGGGCCAGTAGAGCAGTCTTCTCTTTGTTTACTTGCTTCACTTTCCAGTACTGTATGCTCGTGTAATGACTACGTTGTTGTTATATGTGCACAATACCTTTCGGCGCATGCACGATACCTTTCGGCGCATGCACGACTACTTTCTGCCGCACCGATGCAGCCTCCTTTATTCGCGTGTGATACGAGTATTTGCCCGCCATTTGGCGCATACGACCAATGTAACTTTCGGCGCCGATCATGCATGTATCTTTCGGCGCCAATCAGGCGTACCCACCATACCCCACCACGTTCACATGTCAGGGGTATCACTCGATTTTTTGCGCCTATATAAGTCGCCTTAATGAGTGAGGCCTCACAATCTTTCAGAACTCAGTCACATTCAGTACTCTCTTCCCTACTTGCTTCATTACAAATCCGACCGGCTTTCGTCAATGGCTAGACGCCGGGGTGTTGAGGATCCAAACTGGCGTAGCGATCCTTGTGTATACCTACTACCACCTTGGTGCCAGCGTCCTCTCTGCCTATGTCTTCATCGTGCGGCACAGGTCGTGATATAGGTTGTCTTGGCAAGCGGTGTCGGAGCTTTGGCTGCTCTTTGCTCAGCCCACTTCTCTTTGTGGAGCTCCTCTCCTTCTCCCCGCGTGGAGCTCCATGGTGCTGATGTGGTGGAAGGCGACCGACGCAACGGACAGATACCTCCGATGGCTTGGTATTCAAAGTTAGTTTGAGCAAATATATGGTCAAAAAAAGCAAATATTTATGACCAAAGTAACTGAATTTCACAAAACTACATGTATCCGTAACACAAAACCGATTTGGAAGGAGGGAATTGGGACCGTTCGTCTAAGATCCATATCCATTGGTGAAAAATCTCAACCGGGATGGGATTCCTCTAAAAACATGAGCATTTGTTTCTTACAATGAAATTAAATTTCTTACAAGAGATGAATTAATTCCTCAAGAGACGAGATGGAGTATATCAACAAGCTAAAGAAGACTGAAACAAAAATGGTGGATTAATTGACAAAGCACCTCTCATGGTCTACCTACTATACATATGGTCAATCGACAGTTTTGCTACTTTGTTTAGATTGTCGTGCTCCATGCAAGGAGCCGCCTCGTAGTCGAAGCCGACGCCGCCACTCCTCCATAGCCGCCGCTCGAGTGCGCTACCACCACTCGCAACTCCAACGGCAGCGGCCCCACACCAGCCTCCACCTCGTCGTCGTCGCCGGCGTCCTCCTCCTCATCACCATCCAGATAATCCTCCTGCTCGGCTGCAGGCGGCGGCGGCGCGGTAGTGGTCGGCATCTGGTGGCGGCACATGGGGCAGGTGCCGTGCGCGCGCAGCCACTTCTCCAGGCACCCGCCGTGGAACCGGTGCCCGCACGGCATCTCCTTCCACCCCGCGGGCGCCGCCGCCGCGTCCAGGCCACCGTGGAGGCAGATCGCGCACTCCGCCGGTAGCTGATCGATGTCGCCGGTGACGTCCTTGAGCGCCTCGATCGCCTCGTCCGAGGCAGGCGCCACGCCGCCGCCGCCGCCGGTGGTTCTTGTCGCCGAGGTGGAGTGGATCTGGTCGAGCTGGTTGAGCAGGTCGGCGATGGTGCGCGTGCGGGGGTGCAGGCGATGGTCGTCCTCCTCCGTCTCCATGGCCGGCGTGCCGGTGGCGCTCGTCGTGGTCGTCGTGGTGTGGGGGCGTACTACGTCAGACAGTCAGAGTCCTTACGTTGGATTGATTGGAAGGAAGCCGACGGGCCGGGGTGTGCAGCTATATAGGCGCTGGGGGGCGTGAACGCCGAGACGGCGTCGGAATCCGATATGAAAATTGTTGCCATGCAAGGTGAGTCGGATTCGGCCGACGTTTATTCCCAATGTGCATGTATGCTTTGAACGAAAATCACGACGCCCATGACAAAATTAAGGTAGAAAGATCAACGGGCGGCTTTAAGATATTCAGAAACAGATCAAAACGTAGCAAGGGCTACAAAATTTTCCAAACTTAAGAGCAAGGTCAATAGTATAGCCGGTTGTTGGCTCTAATATTTTCCATGTCATTTTGCAGTTGATACCAAAGACAACTAGTACAGTAGATTGGCTATTATATCAGCATCATACATACGGTGAGCTTATATGGTGATTAGATAAATTAAGTACAGAGCTCTGCTATTGAAGCTCCGATAACAACTTGATTGTTGGTGATTATATAAATTGGGAATTAAGATAACAAGCTCCAACAGTGAAACAGAACAAGAAGAACAAGCTTAAGCACTCGTACATAACTTCATCAGATTAGAAGATCTCTTAATATCCATATGCAAAAACCCAAAATAACAAGACAACTGAACTTGCAGAGAAGCTGATGCTTGTGTCTCTGACAAAGTAGAACTCAAAATGATTCTAACATCAGTCATATGATGTCGATTAATTGGGGTCTTGATTTTCAAACTCTAAACACCGAGAAGCTGATGCTGCTGCAGTAGTTTCATGATGAGCTTGAAATAATAGATTTGTGAATTCTCCTCGAATTGGCGGAACAAATATCATTGAAATGTCACCAAATGGCATCACAGTATTTGAGTCAAGTGGTTCCTGAACCTATTCATAACAAGAAAAAATTTAAGGTACACTCGCAGATAAATTATGATGGAGATTTAATTCTTATTGATCTTACAGTTGGCTGTGAAGCTCCAGCTATATTTATGTTTGATGGCTGTGTGGTTTCTTCTCCTGCAAAGTTCATATGGCAAAATTTGGTACTTAATGAACAAAAGGAAAATGAAAAAAAACAGACAAGCAGGTTAAAATAGAGTACCTCTGTTTGTTGTTGTTTTCATTCCTCTGTCAAGCGAACTTCTAGATCTTTTTTGCAGTGGACCTTTTTTGTGAGGAGGAGCTCTAATTGATATGCTCTCTTTTGCAACTTCTTCTGTACACTCAAGAAAACATTGTGGAGCTTCATTTTCATCTAGATTGACCTTGCTTAGTAAATTTTCTACTTCTATGGTCAGTTTATCAAAACCATGATCCAAGTGTTGGAGGACTTCATTCGAAACTCCACATTTTAGTGTAACAGATATCATTTTTCTGCAAAGATTTGTACTTTGTGATGCTAAGCTGTCACTTTGGCCTTTTCTCTTGCATGCAAAGATTCTTCTTTTTGCATATTTTGTCCATCTACTCAATATATACTGAGGAGGTAAAACAATAATATTGTTGTGGTTGAAGGTCCGTAGTACATGCTTGCATAAAATACCTGCATGATTCAGAATTTGTTAGGGGTATATTAATTCCAATTCAAAATTTGTTATAGGTCAAATATTAATTCCAACTAGAATGGGCAATATGTCTGGAAAATACACTTACCAAGACAATTATACTTCCTGCAAGAACATGATATATTCATATGAACTGAATTAAAGATGACTCTTGCTTCGTCCTCACTGTGATCCACAGTTACTACCTTGTATGTGTTGATTGTCCCCTCTTGAATTATCAATGTGCATGATAGAACAAATTGTTTCTGAAATTCCTCCTCAAAAGCAGAATACATATTTCTCGTATATGATTCAGCGGCTGTCTTCAACATTGGCAAGTTACTGATACAAAGAATTGGATCTGAATTCCGTGATTTATGATCTTCATACAACTCTTTCCGGCGAAGACGTGCAATGCACTTATCATATTGTACCAAAAGTTCTGAAATGGAAAGTTTCCTACGAAAAGTTTTTTTGAATATATTGTTCATACCTTCACTCCTTTGAGTGGATGTCATGTCTGCACAAAATGAATCACGGCGATATATTGTGGCCCACTTCTCACGCAAATCATACAAGTTCTGTACCCAGGCATTGTCTTCAAGGTGGTAATCAGATATCAACTTTTGCCAATTGAAGTTAAAGTGTGCCACTGACCTTTCTTCATACACACATCTTTTGAAGTCACGAAGAAAATTAGGATTATTGGAGATTACATGGCTTAGATGCTTTGCAGCATTTTGGTATATACACTACAAGAAACGAGCCCTTTAGTTACCAAGGTTCTTGGTGACAAGATGTTGAATATTGGTTGCTGTTGATATATTGTTACCATGAGACCTTGGTGACACCTTGGTGGCTACAATCTGGTCGCTAAAAGTATTTTGGTACCAATGTTGGTCTCCTTGGTGACTAAATGTCACATCAACAGTTACCAACCAATTGTTGGTAACAATATGTACAACTATTAGTTACAAAGCAAATGTTGGTACCAATATATATTTAGTAACCAAGCCAATACTTGGTAACAAATAACATATAGGCACCATGGCCTCCTTGGTCACTGCACACTTGTAGCAACCATGAAAAATTAACCTTGGTGACTAGATACTAGGAAAAAAATGTTTCTAATATTCAAAATATTTCTGAACAATACCATATGCATCCACAACATTGACTACAGAAGTAGTTAGATCTAGCAAAATACAATTACAATAATCCATATGTCAAATAAGATCATCCAGGGAAAAAATCCATATGTCAAATATAATTACATTTAAATCAACAAATATATCCAAAGGCAAAGGCTATGGTTGTGATTCAAGGCAGTAGCCTATTTAGATGTGAATCTTTTGACATTTTAATACATTCATGGCATTTACAGTAATTAATAAGCCATTGTTTGTTCAATGTAAGGCTTCAACTTGACATGGTATTTGATATCGCAGTGTCGCCATGTTGTCAGGTCCATTTTTCCTATAGTAGTGGAATCAGGCAATATGTTGAAGGGCACTACCAAGTGATAACCTGAAAGAGAAATTCCTGATTTAGATTAATCACCAGAAAAGAAATGGCCACAATATTGGATAAAAAAATGAGCCTCACTCTATCAGAAGCACTAGATAAAAACATCTATGATTATGTTTCAGATCTTGGCGCATAAATCATGGAAAAGAAAATGATGGATACTTGAACATATGTCCATCTTACATATACATAGATGATCTGCTTGTGTTGCCTAGATAAGCTTGCAAATTCAGAAGTATATAAAAAAAGAAGTATTGAAGCTATGGTTACAGTGGAGTGTAGGGAAACAAAGCATGACTTAAAAATTAGTTTGTTCACAAGGATCAAGGATGAATTACACCTTGAATTGTTATTAACATTGAAACTAGAACATGTTGAATGGAGTAACTTCAAGAAATATTTAGACTACAAGAATTTCAAGGAACAAAAAGATCTGTGTTTCCAGATGAAGTTTATGAGGCATGAATTAGAGATGACCATTAATTAGTTTCAAACACTTACAGTGGAGTTTTAAGAAAGGGACATAACAGAAGCAAAAGATCTTCAGGTGCATGATCTCCTTGAGATTCCATCCGAAACCAGTGAATCTATCAAATAAATTTAACAAAAGCTAAATTGCATTTTCGTGTATTATAACACTATGATATGCTTTTCTATTAGAAGAAGAATAAAATGTTGCATACTAGATCCATCATTTGAGGTTGTAGCTGTGTAAGCCGGCACTGATGTACCATTAGCATCCATACAAGGAGTTGGGATACCAGCAAGTTTAGACACAACACTGTGCAACCAATCAAGTTGTTTTTGTTGAGATTCAAGCTGGTTTTGTTGTACAGCAAGTTGGTTTTGCTGTACTGCAACAGTTTGTTTTGTAGAAGCCAACTCTTCTTCCATCTGTTGATAGGTCCTTGTTGAAGTTGATGTAGCTCTTCTATTAGGTTTTGGGCCATGACCTCTCCCTCTAATATACCCATATGCCTTCCCGAGCACCTTCTCACATATTTGCGGCTCTGTCAAAGGTATTTCATCCTGTTGCATGGATTCTTCTTGCATCCTTACCATTTGATCCTTTAACCAACAAAAAATAAACACATGGTATATTAGATGATAAAAGTGATCCTTAATGGAAGTAAAGAGCCACTTACATGCTTTTCTCTAGCATCACTTGAAGCCCATCCTTTATCATTACTATAACATTCTTTGTACAATGTTATATCACCACATCCCTGTCAAAGTATAATAGTAAAATAACTCACCGTGTAAAAGTATAATAGTAAAATAACTCACTGTGTAAAAGAATAAAACAATATAACAAATACTTTTGGCTTACAAGTTCATGTTGGAGTGCTACAAATGATTTTGTTCCCTTCCAATGCATGTATGGCAAATTTGAACGGTTGTCCTTTCCTATTGTTGATCGTTTCTGCATATTTAGAAGTAGAAAAAGGATGACAACATATATATCTTACAAGTATTTAGTTATTTACAACATATTCTAGCACAACATGTATAAAAATAATAGTCTATTGGTAATACTATCATCTTCCTGTACTTCAACAAGCTAGCACAAAGAGATTTACAAACACTAACTATAATTCAGAGTTATACCTGAAACTCTTCTGTCTCAAAATGATCACACAACCAGAACCAGTCAGCAAGACGGTCTTCAAGTGCTTTGTGAGGATTCATTCGTGCGTTCTCTCCACCTCCATGCTTCACATAGTGCTCATAGAATCTATGGCGGAAACTTTTGTAACTAGAAGAAAACATCAACTCCACACAACCTTTTACATTTTCTTCATTGAGATCAAGATCGAATTTAAGCTACAAAATAAATTATGCCTCAGTTTTCAATTATTTTAAGTGAATACATCTAATACTAAACAAATTATAAACTAATGAACAAATGTTTAGTATACCTTTAGTAGTGTATGTAGTGCTTCCTTGTCAACTTCAGTCATATTTTGCCAACCAATACACTGGATAGGTGCATGGTAGCGAGTAATAATTCCAATTTCCCAAGAAAACAACTCATTGTTTTCACCAACAGGCCTTCTCTCAACTGAAATATTTAACTTGATTGGTTTGCCTCCTGTTTTTTTTATTAGTCGATCCAAGCCTTTCCCTTTATTGATTCCCCGAACTTTCCTCACAGATGTTGCCGATGAAGTTCCAGCAGATCTTTTAGAACACCGATCTTGAGCATGTGCTAAGTTGCGAAGCTGTCGAGTTTTTTGCCCTGGTGCCATCTACAATATTAAAAGAAATGCAGATCAGCACACTTGGTGAAATTACAAATTAGAGATGAAAAATAAATACACATTTATATTGCTCAATGACTAATAACTTTAGAAACATGCAGAAAAACAGCAATTATATGTCTATAAAATAGTTACCTATCTAAAAGAATCTCTACTCAGCTTCCTCCTCATACTCATTTCGAGAAATAGGCTGTTCTTTCAAAGCTGCTAGCTCTTTTGGATCAGTCACTACTTCTGGCCTAACATCATCTCGATGCAACATGATAGCTTCAAAAGTTTCATCCAGTAGAACATCACCCCCCTCCTCTTGAAATGCAATATCATCACTAATATTAATATCAATGTCACTTTCATTTGTCGAGCTCCAAATCTCTTGGTCAAATAGATGGCGATGGCTGACTTTTTGGACTACATGCCAATTACCTTTTAGTTTTGTATCAGCTACATAAAAGACCTGATTCACTTGACTAGCTAGCACAAAAGAGTCATCTATATACCATTTCTTTCCCAAGTTAATGCTACCAAAGTCATTGTCAATCCTCACGGGCTTGTTTCTCTCAAGGTCATACCATTCACACTTGAATAAAACAACCTGTCGCTCATTGGGATAACTCAAGACATATACATCTGTAAGAATACCATAATATGTTATCAATTTTCCCTTATGTGGCCCCTCAACACATACTCCACTGTTCTGAGTTTTTCGACCCTCTTCACGCTTCTTTGTCAAAAATCTGATTCCACCAACGATGCAACCAGAATATATGTCTACTTTTTTATGGGGACCAATAGCTAATGCATACAAACAATCAGATACTTGAGATGATCCTTGGTTTCGTAAATCTATCACCTATTTGCAACAAACAACAGAAGTTAGCTAGTGAAAAGGCTTACTCTTATATATGTAATAAACTATATGGACTTACTTTTTGGCGAAACTAATTGGCAAACTCTTTACACTGCCTATTTGGAACATTTCTTATACCTTCTGCTACTAAGGCATCCTCATGTTCACTAAAATATTTGAGAAGAATAAGCTTCTAATAAGTTTGTTCTAATAATTAAATAATTCTAACCAAAATTAGATGTTGACTTACTATATATACTGTTGCAGTTCTTCACAGTTATTGAGCACATACCAACACAAGGAGTCATATTGATCCTGTGTTAAGATCACACAATCTTTATGGCCAAATGCCCTGAATCTAGTAGAAAATACTGAGTAGAGCCCAAGAGGTGGCCTCTCTCCATCATAGTTGCGCTCTGCTCTGTTGAACCTTGTCTCAATTCCATGGAGATACATCGAGAAAAAAGTTGAACACTCTTTCATTATATATGATTCTGCAATAGAACCCTCTGGACGAGCCCTATTGCTCATCATTCCTTTCAAAGAACCAAGGAACCTAAACAAGCCATATTTTAGTCTTAGTACACTATAGTATAAAACCTAGATTGTTATGCGTACAAATGGGAGAAGTTAATACAGAATAATATACCTTTCAACAAAGAACATCCATCTATATTGTACAGGACCTCCAAGCCTTGCTTGTTCAGGTAGATGGACAGCCAAGTGCACGATGACATCAAAGAATGCAGGTGGAAGAATCATTTCTAGTTTGCACAGTACAATGACTATTTGTTTCTCCAACTTCTCTAGCACATCAAGCTTTAATGTCTTTGAGCATAGTTGGCGAAAAAAACTACCCAGCTGCAATAGTACTTGATAGAAATCTTCATGTAAAAACCCACGCATTCCAATTAGAAGTATTCTTTGGAGAAGTATGTGAAGGTCATGGCTCTTTAGCCCGGCTATCTTGCCCTCTTTATAGTTCACACCATTAGATATATTTGTAGCAAAACCATCAGGAAAGCAAACTGATTCTATGAATTTAAGGAACTCATGCTTCTCGTCTCGGGATAGTGTGTAACATGCATGAGGCTTAACTATACTACTACCCCTATGTTGCAAGTGCAACTCTTTTCGGATATTCATATCTTCTAAGTCCATGCGGGCCTTAAGTGTATCTTTTGTCTTGTCATCTATGTTTAATAAAGTTCCTAATAAACTGTCGCAAATGTTCTTTTCAATATGCATGACATCAAGATTATGGGGTAGTTTAAGATCCTTCCAATACGGTAGTTCAAACAAAATGCTTTGCTTGGTGAAATTCTTCCCAGGGATTTCCATACCCTTCTGTGAAGCTTTCCTTTTCTTGTTTCCAGGATGTTTTCCATACTTGAAGCCCTATAGATGGTCTAAATTTTGCAGCAATATAAATATTTGACTTCCTGACATTAGCTTTGGTTTCAGGGCTTCCTCATTCTTACCATTAAAATCCTTGCTCTTTCGCCACCTATGATGAATAGGCAGGTACCTCCTATGACCCAAGAAACCAATTTTGCTTCTAAATGACTCTGAATATGTCTCATCCAAGCAAATTGGGCATGCTTTATAACCCATAGTAGCATATCCGAATAGTGTGCCTAATGCTGGAAGGTCATTAATTGTCCATAGCACTACTGCACGCATATTAAAAGTGTCTCCTTTAGAAGCATCATAAGTAACCACTCCAATGTTAAACAATAGCTTCAATTCTTCAACTAGTGGCCTCAAGTAAACATCAATATCTCTTCCAGGTGTTTTCTTCCCAGGTATCAATAAAGGCATCAACATGAATGGTTCCTTCATACTTTTCCATGGCGGTAAGTTATACACAACTATAATAACAGGCCATACACTATAAGAGCTACTCATAGTTCCAAATGGGTTGAAGCCATCTGTAGCAAGTCCTAAGCGCAAATGGTGAGGTTCTTGTGCAAGCCATGGGTACCTTTTATCCAAGTCTTTCCAAGCTTCACCATCGGATGGATGCCTCAACACATTTTCTTCAACTACGCGCTTATCACTATGATATCGCAAATCTGAAGCTATTTCCTTATTCATGAATAATCGTTGTAATCTTGGTATCAAAGGAAAGTACCGCAGAACCTTTCGGGGTACTCGCTTGATCTTCCCTTTATGTTCCTTCCACCTTGATTCCTTGCAAACTGGACACTCATCATTTTCTTCCAATTCATTCCTGAACAACACACAATCATTAACACATGCATGTATACTTTCATAACCTAGTCCTAGGTCTCTCAGCATCTTTTTTGCTTCATAATATGTGGCTGGAAGTGAATCTCCTGATGGCAAAGCCTCCTTCATTAGTTTGAGCAACATCTCGAATGATTTGTTGCTCTAATGATTCAAATCTTTTAGGTGGACAAGCTTCAACAGAAATGATAATCTAGAGTGACTTTTGCAGCCTGGGTATAGCTCGCGTTGTGCACTTGTTAACAGACGGTCAAATCTGTTTGCTTCTTCATTAGGTTCAGCACCAATATTTCCACTACCTGCTTGGTCACCAATACTTCCACTACCTGCTTGGTCTTGCTGTTGAATCCCAGCTGTACCTCTATGGATGTCTCCTAACAGATCTTGAATCATGTCCAGACCATCAAAATCCTCATCATCTTCATCATTGATAGGCTCATCAACTGGATCAATATCTAGGTCCACTTGTTCACCATGAAAAACCCAATGCTTGTATGAAACTTGTATGCCATATAATACTAGATGAGTTCGGACTTCATTGATAGGTTTTTGGCTTATATTCATACACCTTTCGCAAGGACAAAGCAGTGCATCCTTGTCTCTATTTTGCTGACAGGAAAATTCGGTAAATGCATTCACACCGGCTATATAACCTTGTGAGAACCTATCAGGCAAATTCATCCAACTCTTATCCATATCCTAAAGTCCTGCACAAGCACCCTAGCTATCATTAATTTGTGGACTGAAATATAATATCATATATATGTCACTAATTAATATATATTTGTAAGTAGACCAAGCAATTTTCTTATGTTATACATAGCTGAACTAACACAAGTATTAAATATTGCAAGACCATATATAGGTCTATATTGGTCTGTAGTATATTCTCTTATTCTAGTGTCATCTACTAGGAAAACATTTCTCACAACCAAATCAAAACAGGGCATGGAAGCAGTGAATGGCTTTAATTAAATTCGGACTAGAAATTTGTCACCACTAATTATTACTGTTAGGCGTATGGTGAGTAGTGGGCCAATAATCAGTAACCACTCATCACACAACAAATTCAATCATATCACACCCAAACCAAAAATTGGGGCAAGTGAGCACCTAAACTGAGGCATTTGCCAAACTATTGTAGTTCAAGGCTCTCATTAGACATAGCAGCACCAATTTCTTCAACATGATTACAACAAAATCAATCCACAAAACCATAGTACTTAGGAAATCAAACGTGCAAGAGTAAAACAACCATTCAAATATCAGTTCAAAGCATTTCTATGGTGCTCAAAATCAGTTCAGTTAATAATAAAATTAATGTATGTAATTTGAATCACAAACCTAGAAAAGGGATCGTGAACCCGTCGATGTAGCTGTGAAACAGGATGCTTCTCCTTGCCTGAGCTTGCTGCAGCCGCTGCAGATGGATCTCCGAACTAGCCGCAACCACTACCAATGGATCTCACTGGACTCACGATGCTGGTCCTGATGCAGCCGGATGGGCCACCGGAGCCGTCTCCTACACCTCGCGTGGCCGACGGAGCCGTCTCCTACACCTCGCGGGGCCGCCGGAGCCGCCGCCTCCACCTCGCGCGGCCGCCGGAGCCGCCTCCTCCACCTCGCGCACGCACCGCAGCCGCCGCCACCACCTCGCGCGGCCGCCGCAGCCGCCTCCTCCACCTCGGGTTTTTTTGTGCTTGCTAGGTTTAGGTCTGAAGAGAAAAGGCCTTAGCCTCGGTGACAAAAGGCCCTAGAAGGCCCATGGTTATCACGTTTATCAATTTTGTGAAGGACAAGTTGGTGTGAATTCCTGTAGATCTTTTAGTCACCAGGGAATTAGATACTGGTAACTATTGATACACATGTAGCTACCAAATTCGTTGGTAACAAAATATACGGTAACTAAAGATTACTTTTCTGTAGTGATATGCCATAGGCAAAGACGGTGACTTGAGCTTAGGAATACAATCCTAATCGCCTTTGCCATTGCAGCACACTGATCTGTGAAAATTGTTTCAGGTTGCTTTCCAGACATTGCTTTCAGAAAGTTTCTAAATAGCCAAACAAATGAATCAGCACTTTCATCGAATAATAATGTAGCTCCAAAAAGAATAGTTTGCCTGTGATGAATTGTTCCAATAATAGGAGCAAATGGCATTTTAGAATTGTTTGTTTGAAATGTTGTGTCAATGGAGAGAACATCCCCAAAACAAGCATAATCTACAATGGCCTGACCATCTGTCCAGAAGAAACTACAAATTCGACCATCCTCTTTGTCCAATTGCAAAGAATAAAAGAAAGAAGGGTCTTCTGCTTGTTTGTTATCCAAGTACTCCAATAATGTTTGTGCATCTTGTGTTTCCAAATATTTTTTGCGCTCTCAACCAATAAAGTTATTGCAATCCATTTGTAAGAATGGCACATTTTCATCTCCATCTGACCACCGTTGAAAAAATTCAAATATCTCAGCTGGCTTAACTCCTGCTTGTTGCATCATGCTAATTATATGTTCATCGGCATTTGACATACGCCGTTGTGATCTAAGCATGTGTGCCTTGTCAGGACTTACAAAAGGGTGATTGTGTGCCAATTCAACTTTCTGCACCTTCCAAATACCTTCCCGGGAAATAAAGAACTGAACACGAACCTTGCAATCTATTCTTGTACAAGCACGTTCTTTCTTAGGCTGGTGTGTTGGATTACTGTTCTTGTGACCTTCATTACTACAAACCATGTACTTGGATGATAAAGTACCATCTGCTCTGTAGTTAACATGGCACTTTCTTACACTAAAGCCCAATGGCACTTTCTTACACTAAAGCCCACTCTTCTAGCATATGAATTGTAGAAATTGTATGCATCATCCTCAGATTGAAAGGTCATGCCAACCTTTGGCACTTGCTCGCAAGGAGCATTCTGATTGGTAGCCTATAAGTACAATGGAAGCATATATTAAATCGAATATTTTCTTGAATGAGTTTATAGATGACTTCTACACGGATGTGGTCAATTTGTTATAAAAAGAGCATCTTACCTTTATATTTGATTGAGCAAATTGTTCAAATTTCTCACAATCTGATCTGAACTCTACATTATGACCCTCAAGATTGCAATCCGAGCTTTCACCCATAGCATGATGGCCAATAGAGTTGAACATAAAACCGGTTACTACCAACACTAGATGGAATCAAATTGAAACAAAAATCGTGTTTAAGTCATCAATCTATTAGCCATATGGAAGAATCAACAGCAGATGGATAGTAAAAACAAGCATCTTCTCACCTTGGCTTGCTTCGCCGGCTTCAGGGTTTGATTCGCCCACTTGCCGCACCTCACGCAGGAGCACCGGTTCATCTCCTGCGCCGCGCTCGTCCATCTCCCCACAGCAACGTGCGCCGCGTCCGTTCGTCTTCTCACGTGCTAACGACGTCAGGATGCATAGTTAAGAGGGTTTGAGGGAGTTCTGTGCTTTGAGATTGTGACGGGACACGTGTTGCACAAGGGATTAAGTCTTTTGCAGGAGCGTAAGACTTCAGTCTTACCAAATTTTCTTCCCAGTCTGTGACACACAAAAGCTTTCCAACGCCAAGCTTGCCAAGGCACTTGCATTTTGTTTGTTCTATGTGTAGATCCTGAGGAGGCTGACTTGCTCGGACCTGGCCGAGGGAGCACATTGGGAGGTGGTGCTCATGGCGCTCTCCGCGGCAGCAACGGCACTGCTCGTGCTCGCAGCTGCAGCAGCGATCGATGACCACTACTCAGCGAGGCACCTCACGTCGTCGTCCAATTCAAACAAATCAGAGGCTGACTTCGACTAGATTTACGCCAAAAAGGAAACCGCGAGTTGTTCTCCGAATTGATAGGGATCGGGCATGACCTCCACGGACCGATTGAGAAATCCAAGAATCAATCGCGAAGGTTGAGCGGAGTGGAGAGGAGCCACAGACCAGGTGACCACGGAAGAGGAAAGCATGATCGGCGGCCGAACGTCGACATGCGCGCGCAGTCAACCCGGAGATGGGCCACGCGCTGTCCGGAGGGGAAGGAGAAGCCCGGTGCTAGTTCTATCGGCTACGCACGGGATCTTTCGCGATTGTTGTGGGGCCCGGCTGTCACACCCCGAAGTTCTCCTCCCAAGCCTAAAATTTAATTTATAAACGACCCCAAGAAAATGCAGGTGCAATCAAGAGAAAACCCTAAGAAAGTAATGCAAATAATAATCGGATTTGACATGTGGAATTTTTCTTGAGTTCTACATGTCGAAATTCATTAACAGGATTTTTAGTGGAATTTTCAGAGCTCTAGAAATAATTTTAACCATTTAAAATTGAGCAAGCAATATTTTAATTCCAGGGAAAATCCTTTTTCCTTTTTCTTTTTCTTTTTCCTCCCTTTTTTCCTCCTTTTTTCGAATGGGCCGCCGGCCCATTCTCTCCTTCCTCCCCTTCCTCCCTGCTGGGCCGGCCGCAGGCCGAGGCCCAGCCAGGCCGGCCGCCTCCCTCCTCTCCCCGGGGTCGCCGACAGGTGGGGCCCACCTGTCGGGCCCTTCCCCAACCTCCGGCCGCCCGCCCACGTCGCCATCGCCGCTGAAACCGCCGCACCCCGCCTCCTCCGGTCCACGTCGGCCATGCCCGTGCGTGCGCCGCGCCTCCCGCACCCACTCCCCCTCTCTCTCTTGCCGCGCCCTCAACCGAGATGGCCGGGATTCAAATTTTGAATCCCGCCGCTCTTTCTCTCTCTCCCCCACCTCCAACCTCCCACGTTGCCGGCGAAATCGGGCTCGCCTCGGCCACGTCCGTCTCTCCCGAGCCCCTATAAAGCATGCCCGCACTCCCCTCCACCTTTTTTCTTTTTCCACCGCTCTCTCCCGTGCCCTCCATTGCTCCCGCGCCGTGCGCCCATCCGCCGCCGCCTCTCCCGCTACTCCGGCCGCCTCTAGCCGCCGCTACACTCGCCGCCGCACCGCGCCGTCGCCGCCGTTGGGTTCGCGCGGCCGAGGTCCACCTCGTCCACCCCTCCTCCGTCAATGTTCGCCGCCGGAGCCCCATCCCCGTCGTGCGCCGGCGCCCTCGCCCTCTCGCACTCTCCTCTCTCCCTCTAACCCCTCTCCTTTTGTTCGTTAGGAGGTTCCGGAGCTCGTCCCACCGTCGCCATCGTTCTCCGTCGCTCGCCGTCGTCGATCGTTGTCGGTGAGGTCTCTCCTCCTCTTTCTCTCTCTCTCCCGCACTGTTTAGCCGTCGCGCCGCCGCTTAGCCGCGTAGCTGCCGCTTCGCCGCGACGCCGCCGCTCTCCGCCGCCGGTCGGTCGCCGTCGGCCGCCGTCTTGCGCCGCTGCCGCATGCTGTCGCGACCGGGAAAATTGCCTTTTCCCGAACGCTAGTGTATTAATCCCCGTCCCAGGAAAAGCCGGGGTACACCACACAAACATGATATAAAAGACACATCTTTATTATATCGATAATATTTACATTATTACAAAGGCGCTTCAGGCCTGACAATCAAAAATAAACAGCAGCGGACTAGCGGGCCTACGGCTCCATCTTCACAGGCGCTCAACTGGGGTATAAGCCAGGACTCCACCTAAGACATCTTCTCCAAAGCTTCTCTTACTGAAGGGGGGAGAAAGATAGAGCAAGAATGAGTACAACCACAGTACTCAGCAAGCCACACCGGAGATGCATAATTAATGCAAGGGAGTACAAGGGGATAATAATATAGGGGTTAAGTTTTGCAGTAAACAGCATTTAAAAGTCACTTAGTTGCCCAAAGCCATTTTATAAAGACGATCCTAGAGCTACACAGTATTATTAATCAAGGCCGTGAACCCACACGAACCTGCCTTAACCCAAGGCCTACGATGATTCAGACCGAACTGGCAACCCGACCCTGGGTCCCAGCTCGTCCCAAGCCAACCCAGGCCAACCATTCCACATTTTAGTTGTTAAGCAAATTTTAAGAATTAAAACACTGACTTGGGTACATTGCTCGGCTTGCCCATAACCGAGGGCGCGGCTATTCGAATAGATTATACTCTGATCAGAGGTGTACATCTTTACCCACAAGACACATCTTCCTCACGTGTAACCACGTGCCACATACCACCACGGTATACGGACGGAAGACGTGACATAGTTTCCAACCCATCCTAGCCATAGACAAGAGTACCGACCCAACCCCACCTACGGCCGGAACCCCCGGGACAGGCAGACAGGATTGAGCCCCCTAGCAGCAGGACACCAGCCCTGTGCCATGACATCTCGACTACCGGGCCGCAGCTCGTGTAGCCTTCATTTGCCCTGGAGAATGTCCATCGACCCCCGACTTCATCCATCTCCAATCCGTGTACTTTTGTTTATAACCAGACTGAGCCACAAACTAAGCCTTACCCACTAGACATGTGGAAGTACGGTAGTGCTTTGCAACAGAGGCCCGAGCTTAATCCTTATAGTACCCGAGGTACGACTAGCAAAACCCAACCACGCACCTCGAGCCCAGCCTAAAACCAATTTGGGGATTTTGAATAGAAGGAGCGGTGTGAAGCCAAATCCACAATAACCAAACCATTCCATAGTGTCCAGGTGATATGAATATTCCCAAAGTCTAGAGTTGTAAAACCACCTAATGTTACCTAATTAAATTGCGAAGCATCTACCTAAAATTAAACTAGTGGTGCCATGAGTAGAGTGTCCACTAGT